AGAAGATTAAGATATTATTAAGGTAAACTACTATAAAGTTAAGGTCCTATATAATACTATTTATTATTATCTAGAATATTATAGAAGTATTATAAAGTCTAAATAATATTATTAACTACTTAAACTTACTAAATAATATATTAAAAGCTATCTTTAGAATTAATAATTTATCTATTTATAACTACTAATAACTAGAGAGGAGATTAAGCTTTAAAAGATACTTAGCTTAATCTACTTAATCTAGGAGTTCTTAAATTCTTAGTAGTAAATAGGTATTCTTCATAGTTACCTTATTAAGTAAGTAGTAGTTAATATAAAATTACTATTTTCTATTTAGTTTTAGGATAATTATAATAGAAAAGCCCTAGGCACTAGCTAATAAATAAATAACTACTTTCTTTAAAAGCTCTTTAACTTATCTTTTTATCTTACTAAATTTCTCTAGTAACTATAGGTAAGAGTTAATATTTATTAGTAATAAATCTCTAGTATTAATATAATATTCTAATAATTAAACTAGAGGTATTTCTATAACTAACTCTTCTCTAAATATATCTTTATATTAGGCTAGAAGAGGACTTAACTATTATAAATTAGTTAATATTTTTTTACTCTCTTTCTATTCTTAAATAATATATAACTAAGCTTCCTGTTAACCCTTCTAGAGAGTATATTAAAGCTATTTTATAGAGATAAGATTAAGAGAGATTTCCTTATTAATCTCTATTTAGGTTCTTAGATTAATAGGGTAGATAGTTATATACTTTATTCTATATCTCTTAATAACTATCTATCTAGTAACCTAATTAATATTAGGGTTAAAATATTTTAGCTAATCTTAACCTAAGATAATATTATACTCTATTATTTTAAGGACCTAGGGAGTAATAATATAGCACTAATTATCTAGCTTAAATAGAATTTAAACTTAACTAGATATATATATAAATCTACTATTTAGTAGATAAACCTATAGTTATTTAGATATTTATTAAAATTAAAACTATAAAGAAGGTAATAAATTAGCTAGATATTTTAAAATAAATATATAACTAGAGCTATAGTCTAATAGTACTTAGAGATAGACTACTATCTAAGAAGCTTTAAGTATAGTAGGGAAATAGAGAATATTAGATCTAAGGGTATTTAAATAAGCCTTAATACTATTATAATCTTCTTATTCTAGGTCTACTTCTATTATATTAAATAGTCCTTCTTATAGTAGCTAATTTTCCTTATTACTATCCTTATTAGAATTATTATAGTCCTTTAATAGTTTAAGATTATTAAACATCTCATATTCCTTAACTTTAGAAGCCTATAATAGTTAACTAATTAATACTTCTATATCTAGTAGTCTATTACTTTTCCTAACTACTTCTTATAATTTAATTATAGCTAGTTTAGTATAATATAAACTTAAATATTATAGCCTTTCTATCTATAATTAAAGTAAGCTTAATTAATTTAATACTATATCTTTTATTTATATATTCCCTTCTTTAGTTAATTTAGGGATGCAGTAATAGCATTTAAATTAATATCTATTAGATCTATTTAGTAATTATTAACTTTACTAAAGGATTAAAGCTATATCTAAGTATATAGAGCCACTCCCTATTTATACTTAGTAAAATAATAAACTATATTATTAAAAGTAGTTAGTTTATTATAATCTTCTATCTAGTAAGCATGCAGAACTAGCTTTAAATTAGTAATAAACTTCTAAATTAATATATTATTAGGAATTCTAGATTTAATGTATTCTATAGCTTTAATTAGGGAAGTAGTATAGGATTATATAGTTTAATTTTTTTAAGTATATCTCTTATACTCTTCCTAATATTTATTCTCTTCTCTAATCTCTCTAAAATAGTCTTAGATCCACTATTTAAAAATATCTAAAGTAGTTATAATAGCTATTAGATTATATTTAATTTTCTATTTATAAGTATCTTACTATTCTTTAGCCTAGCCTATAAAGTAATACTTAATTACTATAACCTTTTTAAGTTTAGTAACTTCTTTCTAAGTAAGAGTTTACTTATTATAAAAGTATTTATTAATCTACTAGAGCTACTTTATTATAGCATTCTTACTATACTTACTATTATATATAGGGATTAGTTTAAGGTTAGAAACCTTTTAATATAGCTTAAGCATTCTAGGGGTAATAGTAGAGAGAGAATTAGAATTAGGAGTAATAGTTATAGCTCCTATAGCCCTATCTAAATAGATATAACCTAGATAGTTATACTAATCTTAGAGAAATTTAACTAACTACTTATATAGCTAGATTAGTTTAGCCTAGATATCTTTATTTATGCCCTAGGCAGTAAGAGTAAACTACTATTAAAGTTAAAGATATTCTATCTTAAAGCTATTACTATAATTAGTAGCCTAGATTTAAGGGGTCTCTATACTAGAAGATATAGATTTAATATTATCTATTTTTATTAAGTAAAGAATAATATCTAATTAAGAGTTAAAGTTAGATTTAATAATTATTAATATTAGTTTAAACTTATTAAAATAACTTTAATAACTCCTAATTTATCTTTCTTTAAGGTTAAATTATTAATCCTATATCTATTACTATTTTAAAAGACTCTAATAACCTATAATATCTATAACTTATAATATTACTATAGAGAAGAGTTAATAAAAATATTCTAATAATAAATTATTACTCTCTTAGGTATCTTAATTAGTCTGAGAAGGTTAAAAACTATTAATCTAAGGTATTTTCTATTAAATTAGGGATAATTAATATAAGTAATTTTATTAAAGTTAAATTATTAATAATATTCCTAAGAGTTAGTAGACTAAGGCTATTATAGTTTAGATTAATCCTTTATAAGAGGTTTTTAAACCTTCCTAGGAATTAAGTATTATATATTTACTTAATCTAGATATACTACTAGATAGGATATTTATTATTATTAAGGATATAGAGTCTTTAAAGAGTATAAGGATAGGGGGTAGGCTAGTAGCTACCCTATATATATCTCCTTTACTTTAAGGAATTCTAGCTATCTTTTATATTTTAACCTAAGCTAAGAATGAATATAAGGTCTAACTAACTATATAAATAGTGATATTAGTCACTAGATATTATTGCACACCTGATATGGCTTCCCTGAAGCCATATGCCCGCTGTCGATATCACAATAGTACTATTATTAGATTACTCTCTTTAAGCTCTATTAAATAGTATAGGTTTTATTAAGATTAGCTATGGTTGTGGTGTTGATCTGAACCCATGACTCCCTATATAGAATAAAGATAATATTAATAATAATTATCTACCTATAATATAGACTATTATTACTTAGGCAGTATCTTAGGCCCCTTAGCTATTATAACCTTATTATTAGAGTTGCATTTGGTGCGAGTTCGGGTGAGTCCAGGCCTAGTTGGCACCGAACCACTGCAGTTTCAAGCCCAAATTTTAGAACCCGCAACCAAATTGAACCTGGTGCAATTTGGTTGTGGATTCACCGCAAAAACCCGCTGCTAGGCCTAGCTAGGCCTAGCTAGGCTGATCATAACTAACCATGGTTAGATTCGGTTTGGTTTCGGGTTGGTTAAACCATGAATTTTAACCATTTTGCCCTTACCATTCCCCCTAGGGCCCCCTTCAGGGATGCCCTCTAAGGCCCCCTATTAAGCATGCTTATATAAAATTATTATTTTTATATAAAATATATGGTAATTATTATCATACTAATTTAGATCTAAAATATCAATTCAATATCTATAGATTTGAATGGGTGGTGGTTAAAAAACTATAGTAGTTATTAATCCTTGGTTATATATATATATAAACTACCACCACTTCTATACTAACCTATGACAGAGATGATTATTCCCTTATATCTTAGCAACCACTAGGTATTATAGATTAATATTTATATATTTAGATAGCCTGAATCAGGGGCTATCTAGTGATATCAATATTAATTAATAATATCTAGAATTCAATGATTTCTAGGTAAAACAGTGCGGGTTGGTTAAACTATTAGGTTAAACCCATAAAAACCATAACCGACGGTTTCCCCTAATGAATTCGATTTGGTGCCAAGAGAAATCAAAACCGGTGTGGTTCCCTAGGCTAGGCACCGAACCCAAACCACTCTGGGTTTGGTGAGGTTCGGGTTCGATTTTTGCGGTTCGGTTATGCAACTCTACTTATTATATAGCTTATCTACTAGGATATTTTAAAGATCTTTATAATAGATAAATTACTCTATAGATTATATTAATATAATAGAGTTAGGAGTTTTGCTTTATTATATAGCCTTTATAAAATCTAATTATAGTTAAAATACTTAGTTAACTTAGCCTATTTTCTAATATATAATACTTCTAAGTCTTCTATAAATATCTTTAAGTAGGTTAGGTAGTTTTCCCTAACTTAAAAAACTATAAAAACTATAAAAACTATAACTAATAATTTTAACTAAACCTATATTAGGTCTAGGGTAAGAAACCTAAATCTAAAGTAATTCCCCAGGCTTACCCCTGAACCTACACCTCTGCAAGTTTAGTAAGGGTTAGATTTGACTTTTGCAGGTTGGTTATGCAACTATATTAGTGGCAAGATTGCGGAAGAAGTGAGGTCCCCTCAAGCCGCTGGTCATCCATGTTGGCGATGAACCAGTGAATTGGAGACCATTCCCAGGAACCCCACGCCCATAACCGTCCGGGGTGTCCTCCCTATTGATATCGTCCCCTCACCCGAACATCAACCTACCGCAATCATCTCGGCGGTCTTTCGGCATCAAGCCATCAACAACGTCACGTTGCCACGAGTCCAACACCAATGTCTTCCCTCATTCTGCCTTTTCCGGCTCTGCTGCAAGAGCACAAAGATTGGTCTGATCTGAATAAAATGCTAAATTGGACAGGAAGGCGACAAAGTTGTATATATCCCAATCCCCAATCCTAAGCATAGTCGCATTTGCCTCGCATAACTTTGTTCCTACAGCTATAGTACTCTACACTTCCTTTGCTTGAACGAGGTGGCCGTTCATTTTCTTGAGATTCTGAACGCTCGCCTTCCGCGGGTTTTTGGCCTCAAAGACCTCTCGGAGCTCCTCCAAGGTTTTGCCGGCAGTTTCAACGAAGAAGAAGTAGATTATCACCATCTCCACCACAATCCAGATAATGTAGACCAGATAGAGCTTCCCTGTTGAGAGGATCAGTCAATCACATCTTTAGGTTGCTAAAAAAAAAGGAGCAAAACTCACAGCCAATCTCTGAGATTCCGATAGAAACACCATAAGTGTTAACCATGATCGCAATGTTCAGGCTATCCAGTTCTGTTAGTCAATGCGCCGGTATCTTAGCGGATCCACTTACAACAAGAAGTTGGCCCCCGATCCTTTAGCCCTAGTCCTGTTCTCGAGACATTCGACGGCATAGAGAGTCTGGAGCGGCGTGAATCCCCACGCGAATGCGACCCCAAAGAGATATATAAATACAATAACACCGTAGGCGAGATTGGGATTATTGGCAGATTGGGCAGTGAAGGCTGTAAGGAAGCAGTAAGAAATGAGAGAGCCGACTAGGCCCCAAAGCATCATCTGTCGCCGACCGAGTCTATCCAGTAATGAGGATCCGTAGATTGCCGCCATCATTGAAAAAATGGGGTTGATGGCGTTGATCAGTAGTTGGCGGTTGCTGTCGGTGATACCAGCACTTTTGATCATCTCGGGCTAATGGCATATTAGCGAATCAATCAGCTGTGATCAGGGGCAACAGACTTGATAGCCTGTAAGGGGGCAATAGCATCAGAACTACTTACCATAAAATAGCTGACTACATTATTCCCAGACCACTGGCCGAAGAAGGACATGGCGATGACCATGGCGAATCGGTATCGAGCAGCTCGCGTGTTATACAACTCCCTAAAGTCCCACCAGGGGTTCTTGTCGTCGGTCAAGCTATTGTCCTCGACGATTTCGTTGTATTGGAGTTGGACAATAGGAGAGCTGACGTCGCCATCGGCATGGTACTTGGCAAGAACCTGGAGAGCTTCGTCGGCTCGGTCGTGAGATATCAGCCACCTTGGCGACTCTGGGAAGAAAAAGATGAAGACCATGACAATCGCCGGCATTAAAGCTTGGACAATTGTTGGGGTTCTCCATGCCCAGGAATCGCTGTAATGTCTGTGGATTCGACGCACAACTGGCATTAGCGACATCTTTAACAAGAAACAGGAGGTTCGAGGGCTGCCTACAGGTTTGTGCCGTAGGTTGTCCACCCCGCGATGATATTACCCAGCCACCAGAAATTGTTGTACATGCCAGCCATGAAGCCTCGATGTGTTGGGTGAGCCAGCTCAACGGTATACGTGGGCCCAGCTGCCGAAGCTATGCTGGCTCCAAAACCGAGGATGAATCTTCCGGCGATGAATTGGCCAAGGTGATTTGCAGAACCTTGCACGGCCGTTCCAATCAGGACTATGAGACAACCAAGGAAGATGCACCATCGCCTTCCAAGGCCGTCGGCTATCAGACCACAAAAAGGGAAGGCTGCAATCTGTCCTAGTTGGTAGATGATAAAGACGATTCCGGTGCTCGATCCGGCGCCAGACAAGCCGAATGTCTCCTGGTACGGGATCATAGCGTTGATGGCACCCATCAAAGACGAATCAAACCCATTCATGGTGGATACTAGATACGAGATTGAGAGGATAGCCACGAGGCGGATTGACCACGGGTTTGTCTTCTGTTGGGCGACAGCTTCAGCAAGAGTTTTGGGTGGCATTCCGCTTTCTTTCGTGTTCCGGGTTTCGTCAATGGTCTCAATCATAGCGACCAGCCCTTTGGGCGTCTCTTCGGTCGCCATGGTCGACATTGGTATCCAGTCAGAGAGTAGCACTGTTGTCGCCAGAGAGAAAGAAGACGGATGGTTAGAAGAGCATCAACGGCCTCCTGCCTGGGTCTTGCTTCACAGGGGGATTATATAAAATGTGAAGAGTACTCGGGAGGGTGGGGTATTTGCTCCAAAGATTTCTTGGTGCTCCGCATCCAAACGCAGCTGACTGGGTAAGGTGAATAAACTGATGAGTGGTATCACAGGGGAGTGTATAATCGGGCTTCGGCCTCTATCTCCGCTATCATTCCTTCTTCCTTAGGAACCCCTATAAACTTCATTAGTCTATTACTGTCTTCTCCACTCCTTGTCTCACCTGATGACCTTTTAGCTTTATCTAACTATTAGGGTTTCGTTCCAAAGACTGAAACTAATGTATCCTAGATTAATATAAACTCTCAACCTATTTAATAGACTTCTTATCCTGTGCAATTAATTGGATGAGGCATTGGATTAGGTTTGGTGCTGCGTTGTCTGGGGTTGGCCCCCCACAGGCTTCCCCATACCTCACTGTTGCAGGATCATCCTCGGTGGATCACTCGGGGGAATCGGAGCCGTAATATCGCCGCCGGGTTCCCACATGGTCCTCGGCATGAGCCTTGAGGAGCATACTAAGCTCGCATTGGGCTAGATCGCCGGCTAAAAGAGGTGGCTAACAAAGATACGTTCACCAAGAGTCCATAGTTACCCCGGCTTCCCCGGGCCCCGTGGAAATCTAGTGAGCTGCCCTGCACTTTCGCCACCTTGTATCCGTGACTAAGGACGACCGTCACCAAGAGGCCGATGAGGTTGTGGGCACGATCCTGCAAAGCTAGTAGCAGAAATTACCGCAAAACAAAAACTCAGTGTTTTTACTATGTACCTTAGTTGACTCGCTTCAACCCTTGACAATGTTACTAGTCTCCTCGTGTAACACCCCGCATTGACTGATCCTGGTAGTCCTGTATTTGGGCATCTTCTCTCCATGCACTTTAATTAACTTAATTCATTTACGTAGTATCTCTGTACAGAATCACTGTGATAGGGAATAACCATGTGGCTCATTACCACTCTCCTTGTAGCTAGACATTCTATAGGCGTAGGGGATTATGTACTTGCATAATACATTGCAGTAGCAACTGTTGGTGCAGACATATTCCCTAGTTGCTCCGCAGTGCGGCCACACTCCCATGTTAAAGGGAAAAATTGAAAGAGTGAAAATTAGTGATTTATTTTTTGATATAGACATGTCGGTAGTCTCATAATATGAAAACCCAATCCCTGTCATGCTGTTGTAATGACTGGGATATTCAACACCAGGAAGTGCGGACACACTATAGAGAGTGTGACCACACCAGGAAGTGTGACCACACCAGGGAGTGCAGACATACCAGAGGGTGTAAATACACTAGGAAGTGCAGACACACTAGAAAGTGCAACCACACCAGGAAGTGCGGACACACCAGGCCCTGGTGCACTTACACTCCCTAGTGCACTTGCACTCAAAATAATGTCTATAGTCCGCATTATCTGGCTGTATCCAAATCTACCGTACCGGAGAAAAAGTGCCAATGGGACCTAGGCCAGCTTTTGGCTTGTCCAAGATATTCTACTCTGGGAATGACTAATGATACAAAGTCCTGTCTTAATCCTTTATTGGCCTCAAACACTACCGTTTCCCTTTGTTAGTTAACACAGGACTTTCTGTCATCATCCCCAAACAGGTTCTGCTCTAAGTGACCTCCCATAGCAATTTCATCGATAGATTCCATAGGCCCAGTTGTCAGGTAAAGCATCAACGCGACCTGCAGTGATATGTATAATCACCATGACTCTCCAACCCAGCTGCCAGGCAACTAAAGAAAGACGGGAAGTTTATGAATGTCCGCATGCCAATTGAGTGGTCTCCATCCTTATATGAACAATCTGTCGTCACATTCAAGTTTAGCCCCCTGTTGGCAAAATAGAAGGTCTGGTCCCACTCCTGGCTTGATCATTTGCGCTAGGTTGGGTTCATTTATTCTGTTATTATATCTCACAGCAAGATCTTACCAGGTTATAGTCTTTGGTTTTGGATACTGCAAGAGCTGATATATGGTTAAGAGCTATCTTCTTTAATTTAATAGTAGACACCTATGATGTCTCCTTGTGCGATAGGCCAGCGGCTATCTAAGTTAAACATAAATATTTAACTATTATACTTTAGTTAGATCATTAAAGAGATGTCCGCATTGCACTTACAGCAGTACTTAAATACCTTCTAAAATAAACTGGATTCCACCTTCTACTCCCATTCGCACTACGACCGAATCCTGCCGACGAGGATGGAGCTAGGCGGAGTGATGGAACTCTAGTGCCCTCTGGCTCATTCACGCAGCTTTTCCAGCATGGCCTTTTTCACCCGTTTGGCGGAGAGCACCGGGCGCAGAGATTGGAGAGGCTGTTTGATCGATGGACTGAATTGATCGAAAGTGGCGTGTGGACAGTGGGCGAAAATGGCGTTGAGGGAGGGATCGATATGTTCCAGGATGCAGATCATGGCGCCTGGGAGGATTACTGGATTCCCCCATCCTGGTGAGATTCGATTGAATTATTTAGGAAAGTGGAGAGGAAGTATGACGGAGAATATTGTCAAGTCCATATCAGTCTGGATATCTCTGGTGCGGACATCCATATTTTCTCAAAGAGCGGCAGGGATTCGATCGGGGACCGCGCAGGAATTCATCAAGCAGTGCGAGACAGCCTCCAGCTTGGCACGACAGGCTGCGGGATCGAGAAGCGGTGCATCTTAGAGGGCGAGCTATTGGTGTGGAACAGTGAAGTTGGCAGAATTGAGCCGTTTTATAAAATTCGCCGTCACGTCCAACGAGCTGGACGTCAGATTGGAACCGCTGGAGACTCCCCCATCGCCGTGGGTGAGCGCCTTATGATCGTCTTGTACAATGTCATGCTGCTGGATGACTTGGTCTACGCCCAACAGAGCCAAGATAAGCGACGAGATCTGCTTGAACAGCTGGTCCATCGCATCCCAGGCCAAGCCGAAGTTGGATCCCGCCAAGTGATACGATTCTCATCCACCGATGCAGCTGAAAGTCTGCGCAAGGCATTCTCTAACGCTATAGCGCAGCGATGGGAAGGGCTCGTTCTAAAGGTTGTCATGATCCCTGCTCGTCATTCTGCCAGGACACAGCGTCCGACAAACTCAAGAAAGACAACATTCCCGGCCTTGGCGACACAGCCGATGTCGTTATCCTTGAACTATTTATAGGACTCCGCACACACAGGCTGCCCGCCTAAATCAGTGCGCAGCAATGTGCTAATCAACGAAAGCTAAAAGTGGATGAAATTAGTGGCGGAATTTAGCCATCATATACTTGCTCAGCCAGAAGCAACTATTTCTTAGCGAAGCGGCTTTTGCCTCTAAGAAGTTTGCCATAGCGGAAAAAGAGGAACGGAAACGGTATCATGGCAACAGTGAGAAACGCCAACAATGATGACGCCCATTCGTATCCTAATCCTTCAAACATGTGCTCACCGAAAAGCGGGAATACGGCTACCGTTTCAGATTAGCTTTATGCTGAAAACCAAAGTCATGGCATTTTACTGCCTTCATATACGTACCGGCAAAAATGCATCGGATGAAGCCATTTGCGGCCATGGCGCTCGCTGCGTACGTTGGATAAGCGTCAACCTGATGCAAGTTCTGTCAGTTGTGCCTATCAAAAGACAAATTAAAAGTAAATTGTAGTAGTCTAGATAACTTACAAGAAAACCGAAAATAGAGGTAAACAGCAGCAATGCCCTAGTTTGGTGTCACCACGTCAGCTTTGGAACCTTTTCCTCTTGCACTTCGATAGCTTGTACTTACCCAAATCCAAAGATGGTCGAGCCTATGATAGGAGCAATCCAGTGCACCCAGGGGAATGTTGTCCATCCAAACATGAACATGCCAACAGGCACAATCAGAGAGCCTACCATAGCAGCAGGAAGCCGGAACTCGGGCTCGCTAGCACCTTGGATACCCGTCTCTCGTTCTTTCTTGTGCACAAGACGGTTTCGCGCATTGTTCCAAATCGGATTCATGAAAACAGCTAGGATCATGCCAAGACCAATTCCTAGGAAGGATAGACCGACTTGCCACAAATTGAAACCATGATTGTTGACAAAGACCAGCGGGAAAGCGTCGAAAAATAAGTAAAGAATACCATGTAAGAGTGCTGCAAAAATGCAGAGGCAGAAACACACGGGTTCAAGGATGAGAAGCTGGAATGGTCGGAGTAAGGAGTTGCCAATTGCGTGGGCAACAGACCGGTGCGCTCTTTCCATAGGAGCAAACCATTCGTCGTTGTTGGTCTCTTTTCGAAGCTTTCTCGCCTTGTTTCGCAATAGAACCGGATCTAGCTCATGTTAGTTTGGAACAGGACTTGAAGAATTACAGCCATAAACCTACGAAATGTCTCAGGAACAAGGAAGATGATTGCCAGCCACAAAACAAAAGACCAAATGATTAAAACGTAGTACGTCCATCGCCAATCGAGATAAGAACAGATCAAACCGCCAATCAGGGGACCCAGACTGGGTCCGATAAATGGCGACACTGAGAAGACAGAAATCGGGTGTTGTAGTTGCGCCCTGTCGAAGAGATCGTGAATGGTGCCTCCAGCCACGGCGAGGAAAGCGCTGCCAGCGAAGCCGTCGAGAAAACGGAAAATGAGAATCACCCCAATGTTCTTGGCGACGGCCTGTGGTATAATGAAAATAACATAGATCGTCCAGGAAATGACGTAAATGGGTCGCCGTCCGTAAAACTCGCTGAGGGGGCCAAGAGCCATAGGACCGAAACTGATACCGAGAACGAAAAGGGAAAGACCAAGAATAGACACTATTCTTGAGTTGCCCAGCTCTGCTTCCATCTGTTGGTATGTCGCGGTGTAGATGGAACTAGCGCATGTCCTGAATATGTTGCGTTAGCTTGGGCCAGTTGCTTTGATTATGCGTAACTTACATGCACAGACTGACAAAACAAATAACAAGAACGATGCGCCATTTTTTCAAGGTGCTGTAGCTACGAGGGCATAGAGGGTACGCATCACCACCCTCCCAGCCGACCTCGTAACTGTCTTTTTCCGTGCTCGGTGGGCTCTGGGCTTTCTGGTCTGCTGGTGCGATAACCGGAGTCGCGGTCTTGCTGTTGTCGTCCAGCGACTGCATTTCGCTGTCTTTGCTTTGCTCTTCCATGATTTCGCGAGATCAGTTTGCTCGATAGATTTTGGCTATTATGGGAGTGGCCACCACAGCGCTGGGAAGATGCCACGACGAGGACCGTACAGCGCCGGATGAATCATTTAATTTATTTTTGATCTAAACAAGGCCTCGCTAGTGTCGTCCTTCTTTTTGCATTACTTAGCAGAAGAAATTGAGCGAAATGAGCCGACGCGCCCCTATTTTCATGCATTCGGAGGGTTGACAAAGGGCTGGAATCGGGCTGGCTGGCCTGGAGCGGATTTCGCGATGATCGGCATCTGGAACCCTCTCCTAACTGGCGGGCAAATTGAATTATTCCCGGGAGTATCTGCTGTTGCAATTAACTCAAGACCGTAAGCAGGATCCAGGCCCGGACAGCCCCAGTCTGGAGTATTCCCCAATTTAGATTCTAGACCAACTTAGGCTCCACTAAACCCTCCGTCAGCATGCCTAGTGGCCAGCCGGCTTGCAACGGATCGCCCATGCTCAAAAGCAATTATACTACGCCACGTCGCCGCCATGTAGCCATACTCTGAAGGTGGTTTCGCCCAAGTTCTGCAAGAATAGACGAACAGCATTCATTCATTCATTACCTTTTGGTCAAAATCAACACACCATGGCTGCCACAACTATGGAACGCGGCTATCACAACACATCATCGTCATACGTCCTCCCCAATGAGTGAGACTTTTTAACACCCAGGCTGAATTGAGCCCTTCACTAATATATGTCATGTAGCGCCATTGAGCAGGATCGACTCAATGCGCAAGCCGATGCCATTGTGGCCATGATTGGTGGTGCTCCGTTTTTGGCGTACAACCGTCATCTCGCAAACGCCTCCAAGGCAGTCGATATTGGCTGCGGAACTGGTGTTGCAACCATTCAACTGGCTGCTCTGCTCCCCAGCGCAAACGTGGTCGGTGTTGACATTACTCCTGTTCCCGCACCTGCACTTGCTGCTGCCCCGCCCAATCTACAATGGGAGACTGGTAATATTCTAGACGTGGACATGGAGAAGCAGACGGACAGCCTCAGCCGTGGCGCATTGGCACCAAACACTATTAGCTACTTCTTTGGATGCATGTTGTTCCTGGGTATCAACGACTGGCACAAGTACTTCCAGGTTGCCAACCTCATGCTTCACGACCAAGGCATCATAGAGCATCAGGACCTGGATTGGAAGTTCTATCGTGTCGGCACAGACGAATGCCTCAGCGATAACTGGAAATGGTACGCCCGGCTCATGGAAGCCGTCAAGGTGGCCGGTCTATCCGAAATTTCTGGATCCAATGCGGCCTCTCTCATGGAGACGGCTGGTCTGAAAGTTATTGAAGTTCGGAAGTTTGAGTTTTCGTTTGTCCCATCGGCCAAGACTCCCAACAGTCAAGCAATGGGTCGATACGTGCAAGCGAAGCTGATGTTAAACTATCCAGAGCTGATGCGAAAACTACTGGGGTCGCTGAACATTGCCCACGATGAAGTGGAACAGCTCATCCGCGATGCTTTAAGAGACCTGTCATCTGAGGAAGGAATTCATCAGAAATACACTGTCACTATTGCAAAAAAAGCATGAAGCAGGTTCAATTGTCTTGTTTAATCTGGATCAGGAAAGTAGTAGTGCATGCTGAGCTTCTTCTGGATAGAAAGGACAGCCAATGTTTATCATGATTTATGTGTATTTTCTCATACAGTTTTTATAACGACATACATAGAACACTCCGATGTTGGAACACCCCAGTCAAATACTCCCAGAGCAACAGAGAAAGGCAATACTATTAGATGGAATACAGAACTGTTATTTTCCTGCTCATCAGCCTATACTGTCACGGGACAAGATGAGATTAACTCAGAGATAATGTTGCTATATTGTGAGAATACTAAGAGAAAGAGGAAATAGAGACGTGTAGGCGCGTGGACGCATGGACGTGTTAAGGGTTATTACCCTCTGGCCTACTACCCTGCCACTCTGGAGTCTGGACAGTCCCGTCAAATAAACTTTAGGTGATGCCGACTACTTTTCAGGCCGGCTGATAAATGGCACAGCATTCAAATGAATGACCAGTTTTCATGTTACATTACTTAGTACCTGCGTTGGTCCTGATACCAGTAGTATTCTATGCATATTTTATTTGCTAGTATCATTCTAAATCTGCTTGTTATATTGCTTGTATGTTGTGGGCCACACGCCATTCTTGCCAGGTGAGAGGATACCCTTTGGATCAAGTGCATCCTTAATCTTCTCGCTCAGCTTCATGTGCGCACTGTCGTTAAAATTGTAAGTGCCCGCGACCTGATCCATCAGCGCCAGATGGGCACGATACTCTCCCCATCCACGATCCGCCGCTTCCTGAATCAGAAGCTTGATGAGCTCGTGTGCGCGAGTGCGCATCTCGGGGTCCTCTCGATCGAAGAGGATGCAAACAATGTGATGAATCTCGCGCACACCAACAAGGAACGCGCCGAGGAAATCAAAACCAAACTCCTCGCTGCGACGGCGCGTCAGCTCGTACTGAGCCTCGGCATCGTCTCCAGTGAGCTTGGCAATGGGCGCAAAGAAGAGATGGCCACCATTTGGCAGCCACGATACCCAGTCCAATTCAGTGATAGACGGGATTCCCACAAATGTATTCTTTCTCGTTTGCAGCGCCTTGTCGTGAGGCCGGTCCTCCGGGAAGTAGAACTTGGCACCCGGGATCTGGCTGAAGGCGCTTTTAATGACCTTCCAGAGAACTTCGCGCACCTCTGGCGGTCCGTATATGCAGCCGTAAAAGTTCCAGCGGCCAAGGCCTAGCTTCTCAGCAATGGCATCAAGATCGGCATCCGTTAGAAGCTCGTTGGAATTGGTATAAGAGCTGCGAGTTCCCTAGTTTCTTTAGTTATATTTGGCCCGTACGGTTTGGCATAAAATGTGCTACATACCTCCATAGCCGCGCTGACAAGGATATTGTCCAGCTTTGGCACGTTTTGGAGAACCATGGAAACTCGCAGGGGCCGCATGATCTCGACAATGCGATTCAGATCATC